CTTCTTTTTAATGGTAGAGAAATACATACAAAAGAAAGGAGTCAAAAAACTGAAGTGAGAAACAGCAACAAGGAGCACTGCAAGGAAAGAAAGGTTAATTACAGCACAAGAAAAGATGCAAGGAATGTGAAGAATGTCAGCAAGTAAATAAATCAATAATCTACAGTCATCATCTACATTCCTGAGTTTCCTGAAATCAAAGATATCTGGCCCTAACATTCCTGACAACAGTAGAGATTTTCAAGGAAGACCCCCCTCTGTTTCATGCTCAGTTTCTGCCAGCACCCTTCTGTCAACAACTGATTATAAGGGGGCCTTTCCAAAGGGAGCCTGTAATACCTCTTACAACAGTTTTATTAATACAAGCTTGTGAATACTTTGGGACAGCACAGAAAAATTAACAAGGCAGAATTAATGCTGTGATCATTGCACTTAGTTGAAAAAAACTTCAAGGTCATTGTCAAACAACTGCAGAAATTATGCACTATATTTCCCCCTCAACACTGCTCTCTAAAACATACTGGAGCCTAGCAGCTCATGGAATAACAGTACAAATCAATAAAGCTAGAGACTAATGTGGTTTTACAGATATACTTCTTCACAATGGCGTCAACATACTATAAAATAGGAGTTTTACAGGGGAAATGGAAGCTGAGTGAGAGAGATGAGAGGATCTAAAAGTCAAGACTCAACAAGTTGGAAACAAACAAAAAAACACTGACAAAAAAGCCCAAGCGTATATACCAAACAATCAAAAAAACCCAAAAACCCCAAAACCCCCAACAAAACCTTGAAAACAAAACCCTAACTCCCCAGTAAAAGTATACAAGTAAAATCAAGGATATGCCCTCAATAAGGTGACGTAACAGAAGTATACCTGCAGAGCACAACCATGGAGGACCTTACTGACATGCATTTTGTGGAAGGCTACTGAGCTTCCAGTAGGGGTTGAGGTAAATAACCTGGTTTAGTTTAGTTCATAAGAGAATCTAGATCAAGCTGGGGTTCAAGCCAAAACATCACAATTCAGAAGTGCAATCCTGAGCCAATGCTAACTCAGATTTATCTGAAGTTGCTATATATAAAAAGACTTCTAAGCTCAGTCTCAAACAAGCAACAAAAAAGAAAGGGAAAGGATGATTCCATGAGCACTGCTGCTTAGAAGACCACTTTTATCTATAAAACACAGCAGTTGTTCTCCAAAAATTTCTTAACCATACAAAATGTAATGTACAAAACCCACAACAAATCATCATAGAGAATAATTTCTAAATTGGACATGCAGAATGCTTTTGCAACAGTTGCTTTTGCAAATGAAGCTGATACAATACAATTAGGTAGCTGGGGGCATCTTTTCATGTGACTGCAGAAATTTCTTAATTAAGTGTAGCAATTAAAATGAGTCTATTTTCAATACCATTTTACTTCCAAAGCCGGGGTGGGGGGATGGGGACTCCACCCCCAACTGTCCTCAATATGTTTTATGGTAATCTTAAAATAACAGATGCAACTGTGTTAAAAAAAACCAAAAAAACCCCAAAAAAACCCCAAACATAAACAAAACCAAAAGAGAAAGCCTAGTGTACCTGTATGCTGTTCTTCAATCCAAGCTTGCAGATACATGAAGAGGAGTAGACCAGCTACTCCAAACAGCAGTACAGACACGAAGACTTGTCTTAGGTTCATGACCCTACAAGGGGGCTTTTCTTCAGCTTTCAGAAGGACTCATTGCTCACTTCTCTGAAGTCTTCAGCATGCCTGCATCTTCTTCGGTGTCTTCCCCAGAGACACCAACCTGGGATAACAAGAGAAGGAGGTTGTTCTTGTGTTACATTTTTATTCTTCACCAGAGACTGTGTTAACAGCATACTATATACAAGCTGGAACTCTTACAAGCTATTGCTTTCAATGCTTATATTTCTGCTCACAGTCTCGATGCTCTACCCTGAGATGAGTTCCAAGCAGATGCATTTCTCAAAGTGGCTGAAAAGACCATTCGACCTCCTGAAGAGCAAAGGTCTCCTGCTGTCATAACAGAGGGAGGTAATGACCCAAATGAGGTCATTGGGTGTTACACCAATTCCCCACTCTGCCCACCAACCATCACAGCTGGGAAGTAACAGCAAGCAGCTGGAGCCTCCCAGGTAGATGGGTCACAATTCAAGAGGCTGCCAGTCCCATGTGATGGGCAACCCAGCATCCCAGCTTCTGACTGTATAATCGTGTGTCCTTGAGGATGGATCACCCCACAACATGACCACTCCACTTGGAGAGCCCCAGCATTGGTTCAGCCTGTGCAATGATGTTCCCCTCAAATATGAATCCAAGTTGAGTTTTGCAGGATTAGGAAATGTCAGTGTAAGATGGTATCAGTAATAGAGCAGAAAATTAATTAATGGCTCAACTTTTTATTCAGCTCTGTTTTGCAATATGGAGGGGGAGTTATCAGGAACTCAATTCTTGCCACCAAGTTTAATGGAAACAAGTTCAACTGTAAAAACCTATCAAAAAGATTACTTTATTGAACAGCAGTGGACCCAGAGGAAGTAATTTACCTGATATCCTGCATGTACTATAAAGGGGTCATAAAATTAATTTTATAACATCAGAACATGAAGACACTGTGGAACACTAGAGGACAACTCCTTAAGCTGAATAAGAATGTGCTCACTTTGAAGCATTAGTAGCTGAAGAGCAGTTATTGAAACTGGCCTGCACAGAAAAATAAAATGCTTTAAAATTCAACATAATGGACACTGTTGTCAGTGCATATGACAGAAGTGTCTGATGAACTACCACAAAGAGTACTAGGAAAAACTCAGGCTTTTCAAGGAATACAGCCTAGTGGTAGCCTACCTATTCAAAAGATAAATCTGTTAAATACACAGAAAAGAAAATGCAGCCACTTAACAGTTATTCTGAATCAGACAAATACTCTATGTTCTACAAGTTTGTATTTTTTAATAACTCAGCACTGTTACATCTATAATTGCTGAGTTTCTAAAAATACAGTACACATAAAGCTTAGCAGGAACTCCCATTAAAAACAGCTGTTGAATGAACAAAGTAACTATGTTAGAAAGACGCAAAAGATTTCAAGAACAACAAAACTGTTCAGGAATTTTCAGATTTTTTTTCCATTCTGTGCCATTAAACTGTACACTTCTCTTAAGCACAAACTTGCCTGCAGAAAACATAAGCCACAGTTTAAATATTAATCATTTTGTGTGCAATTGTTCTTTAAAGACAGATAGCTAGACATTAACAGAATGTAAATTTTCTGTCTGAAGTCTTTTTTTCTGAGGGTCATGAAGCAACTGGTTCAAACCAGGCACATGAAAGGAAGGTGATAGAGGCTTTATTCATAACCTTGCTCTTTCTGCTTTGATTCTATAAAGAGGGAATTTCTTATATGTTATATGCAAGTACCTGTTTGCTGCTATTATGATGATGCACAGGATTGGAAAGAAGCAGTGAAGATTGGGCAAAAACAGAGAAAATGCTTGGGAAATGCTGTGAAATGCTTTTTGTATAGGTGTGGAGCCTCCTTTCACCCAGCTCTTCATCAGCTGTTATACTTGCACCTTTTTTTCTTACAGTGCTCTCAGCACTCTCAGACTTGCAGTGCTCTTTATCTACACTACAAGCCTACTTAGGGCTTTGCACATAACTTCAGTGCTGCAGCAAATGCACTGTTTGTATGTCTTCAAAAGTCACTCTGCTGATGAGACAGAAGCTTCCCACCATAAGCAATGCTTCAAGAAGTCACAGAATCGACAAATACAAACCTCTTCTGTTTCCAGCAAACAAAAGCTGTGTTGTTCATGTAACAGGACATTGACAGCATCTGGATTAGGAGGAAAAAAAGCAGCAAATAAAAAGATATGAGGATCTGAATATATCGTTGAAATAAATTACTTTGAGGTACTAGAAAGTGGGAATCAGTTTTCTTGCTGTTTGGGATTTGCAAGTTTCTCTCATAATAACATGTTGAGGAATCCAGACACATGCAACAACAGCGCATGCTTCCAAATAAGCCCATTTCTGTGATGTTGCTTTCTTCCTTCTCTGACTACACAAAGCTCCCATATATTCAGCCCTTCTTTCTGAAAAACAGCATCCTTGAGTGGGCGAGGAAAACTTTCTTAGGCCACATGGACGATGCTGAAAGGAAAGTATCTCACACCACATCTCCATGAACATTTCTGACACTTGTAGGCTGGCACTGCTGCTTTCTCCAGCCATTTGCTCTCATTCTCTTGCCATCACCATGAGTGCTTTCTGACCAAGTTTAACCAAATCATAGCCCACAAAGAATTTATCAAGGAAAGGTGCCAATGGTTTTTCCTTTAGCAGTAGCTGGTATCACATATGTCCATGACCCATGACAGCATAGGATATAGAGGTGACCTTGCCCAAACACCATCATGGTTGTATGCAGCGTCATCTACAAGCCCTGAAAGGTGATGATGAAAATGCACAGCAAAATAAGGAGCACTTTTAAGCAATTTAATCTGTTAAAAAGTGCAATTTAATCTGTTAATAAGAAAACAGATGCTTTTCTCTTATGTTAGTTTTGGCTTTGAGTGGAAAGAAGTTTGTAAAAGGATACAGAAGTTCAAGGTGTTTTTCTTTCTTTTTCATTTTGAACTACCAAACACACCCTAAGGCAGATTCACTCCACCATCACAGTCAATGTAATTATCTTTGTATCAAGAGTTTACATGCTGCTTGCAATTAGTTTAATTTATATGAAACTGCATTCTTCATTTACATGTTGACTAAGTTTTAAGATTAGTTTTAAAAAAGAGTAACATTACTTTAAATTAAGACTACTGATTTTAGATCAGGTTAGAATCTAAATACATCAAACATAACTATTCTGCTACCTTATAAGACTTTAAAGGTTTTTCAGCTTGAATGAGTAGTTTAATTTATTTAACACAGTGATTTGTAGCCCATATATAAAAAAATTATAGTGACATTTAAAAAAGTCTGTGTCTGTGAGTCTTCTAGAAGAACTTGAAAAATGGCTGCACAATACTGACAAATTTGCTCCCTTTGTATTAAAAAGCAATGGTTGTGGATTATAACCTGGGCAAAAGGAAGTACCTGCAAATATTCTTTAATCAAGATAAATGCTAGCAGTTACTTTCAACCCAAGTATTTTCAAAAAAGATCAGCCATATCCAGACAGAAGCTCAGCATCCCTGCTTAAGCTGTGAATCTTTTTTTTTTTGCTTCTAGTTCTGGGCAACATGACTCCCCTGGGTGATACTTTGACCATCCTTGCTGGATGGTTCTTGCTATGTAGGAATTAATGTAGCCTGAGAAACTGGTCTGTGCCTTCCATGTATGCTGAAGTAGGTTCTTGCTTTTGCCCAACATCACCCCCATCTCTTTGGGATGTATGGACCTCAATGTCCCACCTGTTTGAACTCAAGTTCTGCATCCCAAAATTTTAAGTTATTTTGAGTACTGGAGAGAGATTATTACATGTCCTTATCCATCATGGAGAAACAATAAATCTGGCAGACAATAGCACTATGCATCTTAGATGACAAACACAGCAAAAATTTAGAAATTTTACAGGCCTGTAGTCATTCACTTCTGAGTCCATGTTGCTTAACATTTTTCAAATATTAAAAGTTTCAAGAATCCTCATTCTACTGATGTAAAAGCCTTGTGTTTTCCTCATTGTGTTTTGGGGTCAAATAGGTACATTCCTGTGCAGAGCCAACAAAAGCAATTGAAATAACACAGTCACCCAAAAATGAGGAAGAGTGTACCTCCTGCTTTTGGCATGATTCCTCCTTTCAGTATGTCATCCAACATTTTCTTCCTTGCAATCAAATATACCTGCAGCCGAGGAGAGGCACCTCAGCATTCAGGCACCCTTCCTGGCTCCCTCCTATTCTAGACCACACAAAACCAATGACATCTGGTCAGCATGTTAGGCTAACTTTGGATTTCCTTGCCACCATGCCACTCACCATCACCTAGTTCCAGAATCAAGGACATACACACAAATGCAAAACATTAGGTTGCTTTCTATTTAGAAACCTTTCCTTTTAATTTCAGCTTTATTTTTCTTCACCTGGAAATCAAGAATATTAAGATGCAGGGTTAACTAGCAAAATACAGATTAAAAAAATCCAGCAATCTTCATAATGGTCAAAACATTCATATTACTGTGGGATACTATAGATTTCCACCCACTCAGTATCTCCTTAGACACAACTGAATTAATGAAAACAAAATAAGAAAAAGAACACAGAAAGCTACTGCAACTGCACAGTTTGGGGGTTCTTAATTTTCTTCCCTCCTTCCTTACCTCAAGAAGCACTACATTTTCTCCACTGGAGTTATCACGGCAAGAAAATTTTGCAGTGAGGAATGTTCTGATGGACACTGGCCCAGACTACTTTCAGCTCAGTCAGTAGAAGGAAGCAAGGATATCTTCTCACTTCAATGCTCCCCCTCCTCCTTCACTTCTCATCTGTTAGCTCATGTCCTACTTCACATGCAGATGATCCTCCAGGATCACCTTTCCACTGCCCACATCTCAACTTTCTGGCTTCACAACGACTAGCGCAAGGCAGAGCTCCAGCTCTTAACAATGCTTGCACAGTTCCTTTATCAGGTAGTCCTACTTTTTTTTCTGGTTTATTACAGAGGTTGCTAGAAGTAAACATACGGTATTTGCTATTTTCTATCTCTAAGCAAGTTATGCTGAATGTTAGGTCTGGGTGAAGTCAAAGGCCTTATAGATATTTGAATTAAATGAGTAAGCAGATCAAGACAGTCAAACGGTGGTGCTGAGAAACTTTGTAAAAAAAGATTAAAAAAGAGAACCAATCAACCCCTCACCAAACACCCCCCCAGATAAACAAAAGTAAACAACAAAACCCAAACCAAACCAAAATTTCCATAAGGGAGTTTTCTCCTGTCCATAGGAATTTTATAGGGGTATATAGACAGCATACAGGCCCACTGTTTCATCAGTCCTGCTGACACTTCAGCAACTTCTTCACCTGAAGAGCTGCTTATAAGAAGGCTGTGTAAAAGTATAATTGAAGACACCATCTGGCCTGCACAACTTTTATTACTGGCAATAACAGAAGATTACTACCTACCAACACTGCAAATCAAGTTAAGAGAATTCTGTAAGAGTTCCATAAGACACAAATAATGAAATATTTTTTTTATGAAATATACAGGGATTTGTCTTCAAAGGAGAGATCTGTTTTTATCAAAGTGAGCATTCTTCGCTCACCCACTGTCAATTATGAAACAATAGAGCCCCTTTAAAAAATAGAGCTTAAAAATTTGAAATTTTAATAGCAGTCAGGAAATTTCAAACATCAACATCACCAAAGTAACTTCCCACCCAGTCAACTTGTATATATTTAACTTTTTTCAACTTCACTTTCCCTTGTTATATAGCAGACCACAATGTTATAGCAATTACAATTTGATTTAAATGCACTTTATAGCATACAACATATTATACAAAATTAATAGAGTGGCAAAGAAAATATGGTTTGCATTTGATTTCGCTGTTTTAATCTATTAACATCACCAGTTCCTCATTATCCTTTTGATATATTTACAAAGGAAAAAAAATCCATTTAATGAAACAATGGGTGTAAGTTAGACTCATTGCTTCTGAGAACACGCACACCACTTACCTGGTCCTGATCCTCAACCATAAATCCTGCTAAACTTCAGACCATGTCAGTTTAATGCACATAGTAACTTGCCTCAGACACTTGTAGATTAATTTAAAGCTGCAGTTTCAGACAAACAAAAGTTATGATTGTGTTAAGAACAGATAAATGCCAAGTTGTCTTACCCATGTGTATGCAGGTTGACACATCAGCATCATGGAACGTTTTGGCTACTTACAGAGAATAGAGAAGACACTGAAAGCATCAGGTCTGGAACTTCACCAGTTCACCAGAATATTCAGTTTCGAGGGTTTCATCCTACAGCTGCTGGACATCTCGCTTCAAAAAGGAAAAATCATTATTATTCTCAGTAACATTTCCCAGTCAGGACTGAGGGACCTCAGCAGAAAAAGGCAAGTTTGGCATGCTTAGCTCTTACCTGTCTGAAGCACTCCTGGGAGTCAGCGAGCAGTCCCATGGAAGTCGCCTGGATTTTGGGAAGTAAAACAAAAATACTGCTCACGAGACAGCAACTTGATGGCTCTCAGTCTTCTAACCGGATTATAGGTGGGATTTCTTTCCACTCTCAGGAAAAGGAACATTAGCAAAAGGACTGTGTCAAAGCCAGATCTTCCCTTTTTTGAACTGTTGAAATGATACGATCTTGTTTATGGACTGCAGTGAACCGGACGGGGGGCTATCAGCATGCCAACAGGACTCGCAGCCTACCCCAGTCATTCACACTACTGCTAGAAAACGCACAGGCAAAATACCAGTCCATTTTTTTTTTTTTTTTAATTTTGGAGACGTGCCACGAATTCCCGATTCCCGGTGTGTGACGAAGGACGGGGGTGTGTGTGGGCGTAGGGAGTCAGCAGAAAAGTTGCTCGGTGCGCGGAGCGGGGGCTCTGCGACCCCCTCAACTTCTGGGTACGCTCCGCAGCCCCTCGGGGCCGCTCCCGGCGCTGGAGCCCCTCGGCACGGACACGCCGGGGGCCGGGGCTGACCCTCATTCCCCGGGGCCGGTCCGCGCTGAACGTACCGGGACGGCCGCGCCGCCGCCTCCGGCCCCGCCGCTCCGAGTCCCGGCGCCGCGGGGCCGGGCGGTGCCGGCGGGGAGCGGCTGCCGCCGGGGCCGCGGAGATCCGCCGCCAGCTCGCCCACCCTCCGCCCGCCCCAGCGGGGCTGCCGCCCCTCACCTGCCGCCGCTCCCGCCGCTCCCGGGACGCTCTTCCGCAGCGGTGCCTACACAGAAACTTTCCTCGCCAAACTTCGCGGCCGGGCGGGCTGGGGAGGGGCCCCGGCGGGCAGGGACACCCCCGGCCGCGGCGGGGCAGGTGAGTGCCCCCGGCCAGCCCCGTGCGCCCGCTCCGCCCGTGACATCGCGCTCCCTCCCCGCCGCCCGGAGATGAGGAGTTCTGCTAAAAGGTTTTGTTTGCTGCTGCATATGCAGGGGTAGCTCTCCCTGTGCTGGCGAATAAATATGTCTAAGCTGCCAGGTACAGGCAACTCATCTCTTTAATTAGCTACTAAAACAGGTAGTGTAGAAACTTTATTGTCGTCTATGGGAAACAGGATGACAGAGAAAAATGTTTAATTAGTGCTTATTGGAGCTTCACGTGTGCCTTGCAAACCTTATCTGCTTATTGTGACAATAGACCAACCATGTAGATAAATGGCATTATCTCTCTTTAACGGGAATATCTCTTTGCTTACATTTCTTCAGGGGAGTTCTTGAAGAAATAGCTCCTAGCCCTTGCTAAGGTGCGGTAAGCACAGAGGAGTTCTGACTTTCCAAAGCCGCGCTCAGACGACTTCTGTCAGTGTCACTCTCCTTCAGGCATTTCCATTTGTGATCCTAGAGCTACCTCAGAAACAGACACCTAAAATGCTCCCTGATTCACTGCCCCATTGCTCACTTATGGCATTCAGGCCTCTCCTGGAGTAACAGTAATGTAACCATTCATGTTTTTGCAACATCTTTTACTCCGACAGGTCTCAAATCATCTCACGCGCTGTTGGGACAGCACGCAGCGATCTCTTCCCCAACCAGCGCAGCACCGCCTCCGGTAGGAAGCTAAGCTGCGCCCACCCGCTGAAGCCCAGCGTTCCAGAGCAAGAGGGTAGGGAGCTGGGTGCTGCTCAGATTTCCAAGGGGGGTTAACTAGGCAGGGAGTGTAATTACCCTGTCCAAAGCTTACATGTTCGTTGAAAAGTGCTCTGGGATCTGTAACGGCCATAGGCAGCCAAGACCTGTGTGCAGGGATGTTCCCTTGGATTTTCAATCCTGGCACTATACTGTCCTGCCCTTGCTTAGTTTGGGTTGTGTGAATACATATAACCTCACCGTGGTGCTATAAATTTTCTCTGGTTTATCTCACTTAAGGGTCTCCCTAGTCACAGTTCATTATAGGAGCTAGTAGCTCAGAGAAAGCCTAGGGAGAGAAGATTTTTTTCCCTTAAACCCAACCATGGATCCATTTTAAAGTTCTAGTGAGTAATGACTATTTCTCACACCTGTAGCTTGTCTGGCTGCCTAGTAGAAATAAAAGGGGAGGAAGGAGAGTATGAAGTAGAATATGGCAGTCTTTTGCTATTTCAGGGGAGTTGAGCATATTTCCCCTTTTAGATAACCTGGCAGGCATGTGATCCCATGTTAACCATATGCCTTAACAAAAAAAATGAAACCTCATATTTAAATTACGGCTCTATTAGTCCCTGATGGCCAGTGAGATTTTTGAGAAAAACAACATGCCAACTGAATTTTGGTTTCCAGATGTAATACACTCAGAAGATTGTAATGAGGGTCACTGAAGCTTCTAGTAAGGATATACTGATTAACCCTCTAGGTGTTGTTGATTTAATTTCACTCAGTAAGTACATGCAGCAAACATATGTCTTCAGATTGATCTACTCAGGCCATATCTATCAACTAAATAAACTTATATATAACACTGAATATATCATATGTCTTTATTTTTATTTTTCTTCAGTTAATGGAATAAATTAATTGCTTTGTGATAAAGCCAAGTCTTGTTTTACAACTTAGTAAAAAAACCAACCAAACAAGAAGAACCCCAAACCACAAAGAATTCCAGACTATTGCACTTAGTTTTGATAATAATTATTCCACACAGATTGTCCTGGTGTGGAGGGTACAGTCCAGCTATTGCTATAAGAATCTTTGCCAGATTAAAGATTAAAAATTCAACATGCAGGTGAAATTAGACACTGGATTAGGAAGCTCATCAACTACGTAATTGTAATCAGCACCTTCTGAAGCCTGACATGTAGCAAAGAAGAAGCAAATTACAAAAGGGTGGCGGCAGTCTGTCTGTGGCAGCAAGGCTGGTGTGGAGCCAGTGCCTACATCAGAAACTCTGTTCTTGGCAGGTTTCTGCATGTTTCCCTTGAATTCTGGTAGATGAGTAGCTCAAGAGTTAAAGAAGCAGCATCATCCTCTGAAAGCAGTGAGACAACAGCCAGGTGGTGATGCCTTCTCACAGGAACAGGAGCTGTCAGTGCACTGAGAGAAGAAAGGCAACAGGTTGTGAACCGAAACTGCAACCTGCCAAAAATCAGAGGTCAATTTGCTGAAATAAAACCACCTTTACTCCACAATGAGACCCATTTGGGCTCTTCACACACTTCCTGTGTGGATTTTCAGGAACAGCCACTGAGGAAAGTGTGGTGTGGAGGGAAGGTATAACAATAACCCACACTTAGAGCTGCTTCTCCATGGACTGTGCACTGTGTATGGCCCCTAAATTTGTGGGTGCTCAAACCATGGGGCAGAAACCATATATATCATTACTGTAATCTGTTAATGAGCCTCCACCACCTGCTGAACATTCCACCCAGCCTAGGTTTCCATTTTTCATTTTTCAAAATCTTCTGCAAAGCTAGTGCAGATACACACATTTCAAGGATTCAGAATTTGAGATTCTTGTGTTTAAAGAAAAAATTCATATGAAAACCCTGGCTTATGTAGCAGGGCCTGTTTGGCCTGATCTTTTTCCAAAGGGAAAGGATTATACCTTCAGAGACATTTTTAGATTAGCCAAATTCGTTCCAAGTGCTGTTATAATTTGCTGCACTGACTTTTTAGGACAGGCCACACTGGCATAGTTTTAGTGTGTTATATATAAATGTAGAGCCCATGAAACAAGCCTTTGGTGATTAAAAACATTTTATCATTATGAAGGTGTCTTTTCCTCCAGGGTACAAACCATTCAGCAAGTAGTTTCATTTTATTTCCTTGAGCTTTTTTTTCATTTTCAGCTAATTAGCTAGAAATACACCACCAAAAATATTCCCCTTTCCTCAGTTAGGAGGCTAAAATTTTCCTCAACCAAGCATTGCTATGGGGCATTTGCTTTGTTCTTTTAAAAAAATTGCTAGCAACTTGGTATAAAATTCATTTGCTCAGTAACTAGTATGCTGGGATAATTATCAAAGCCTTTCTAACCAAGTTGTGTGCTCATTCAAAAGTATTAGGCAATTCAAAATGTCTGTGGTTCTTCAGCTATTACAAAGTTTAGTTTTTAAGCAGTTTCCAAAAACTTGACTTAAACACTTCAATGAGTTGACTGTGAAGTTATTTTATCCTAATGGGCTCCTGTTCTCAGAAGACAGCCAAAAGTAAACAGTAGCAGCATTTTTTTTTTTTTTCTGAAGGTTGGTACATTATCTTACTCCAATTCTAAAATGTTTTTCAAATAGCAGATGCTACTCTGTCAAGTGCTGCAGGGCTACAAAATGCCTTAGGATGTCCTGAAAAATTTCTTTCTATAAAAAAATAAGTGAATTAATTCTGTATTTGAGTGACTGGTGCGGAATTCCATTAACAGGTGTGAATGGAAAGGTTGAGATTAGCTCCCTTTCTCTTACTCCCTCTGCTCTAGCTTTGGGTGAACAGGGTTTATGTGAGTGTGCATGCTCACATAAATATGCTGCGTTTATATCTTAGAGGAGGTGTATCAAGTTTTACAGACTTGACACAGAGCCTTTCAAGACAAGACTGGATAGACCCCTGACCAACCCAGCCTGAACCTATGGCTGACCCAGTCATGTGCTGGAGGTGGGACTGCAGGTTTCCTACCATCCTGTCCTGTGTGAGTTGTCCTATGATGTCTTCCTGGTCACCCCATCTAAAAACCAGGTCACATTTTTTCCCAAAATGGTCTCATCTAGTTACAAAAATTAGGTTTGAATGCCCTCCACAGAATCACAGACCACAAATGGCTGAATGAAATCCTTAGTTAGTGTCAGAATAATTTCTGTTGAAATATGGTTTGTAAAGGAGGAAGTTCCTCTGAAAAAAAAAAAAAAGTCTGTTCTTCCAGGCCTGTTGCAATGCAAAAGCTATGTAACATTGTAATTTCTAGTTTGTCTTATTCTAGAGAAGAGGAAACATTCTTTGTTCCACCAAATAATGCTTGATTATGGTGTCTCCTGGAATAGAATAGCCTATTGTATCAGAGAGCTAAACTGGGAGACAGTTTTTTTGATCTTTCAGTTCTTGTCACCACACAAAATGAGTTGAAAAAAAACCCCTTAACTGTGTGATTTAAATGCTTTAAAAGCACCCGTAAAGATCTTGAAGGCTATGTCCTTGTCTTCCAATTTTCACTAAAGGATACTGCTGATCTTCTCCATCCTTACTATGACATTTAGATTTCTCTAAATCTCTAAGCAGCTACAACTGACTGCTCTTAGGTATTACAAAGACTGAAAAAAAACCAAAAAAAAAAACCTTACAAAAACCTCTTTTAGACCAATTTTACAATCTTTCATGTGACTACTAAAGGCCAAAGAAGTACATTCTACATGTTGCCCTTTGGTCATTACACATTCCCTGAATGTGAGACAAACAAAATTCCCTTACTCCCAACAACATGCTTGACAGTACAGAGTTCTGCACTAATTCAACATCTGTTGACAAGCTGTCTATATAAATAGACAGAGAAACTGATTAATGAAACTGGGGGTACCTCCAAAGTAATTCACAATCTGTTGAAATAGGACACCATACCAGTAAATATGCAATTCCAATGTTCTGGTTCCTCTTGCACCCTAAAATACCAGGAACAAAAAACCAGAAATACAGTGATGTGACAGTCTAGCAGCTGTCCTGAAGCTAAAGGAGGACTGAATGAAATAAAACAAGATGGGTTTTTCCTCACCACTGTCAGCATTGGACTATGTATTGAATGTTTGCATTGCTCATTAAGACAAATGGACATATCTTAAATCCATTCTGACAGCTTGGAATCAAATACTGAGCAAATTATGACATTATGGTATTCATATGTGCCAGAAAAGAAAAAAAAAAAAAACCAAAAACACGTT